ACACACATTCATATACATTAAACATATATAAATATTTATTATATTTTTAAAAAGAATTCACGTTTGGATGCATGCTGCCACACCACTGCAGGCATGCTTCTGCTTCTTCATTTCCTGAACAAAGTGAGATCCAGGGACCCAAGCCAAAGCAGAGGAGGGCAAGAAATGCCAGAAGCATTCATTGGAGCCCCACTACCCAGTGTCTTCCCTTGCTCCTATGTCAGGTCAGACATTCAGGGATGAGCATGCTTCCAACTTCACAGGTGAGCACCTAGCCTCAGGAAGATGAGGTCAAAGACCAAAAAACACCCAGTGGTAAGTGTCAGAGGCAGGATTTGAACCCAGCACTGCCTGACTCTGATCCCCCATTTTACCCATTTTATCTCAGTTACTGAGGCCAGCAGAAATGAGAGAAGGGCTCACTGAGGTGTCAGACACATGCTGCATCGTGAAGACGGGAAATGTGAAAGAGCAGAGATGGTGGACAGAGCACATGGACACTGGAGACCTGACTTCACAGCATCCTTTGAGGCCCCGAGTGTCCTGGCTCTGTGGTATATTGTGGCCATCTCTGAAGAAGCTCATTCATCATGCTCTACTGAATAACTTCCCACTCTGGGCTTTTCCTCACAAAGTCCCCTCTTTCTGGAACGCTCAACACTGGCATTCTGAATGGTTCCTACCTATATCTGGGAGCTCTCCTTGATCTCTTGTCTAGAATCAGGATTCCTGCGCAGCCCAAGGCCAGATGTACACTTAAAACAGTTCTCATAGCTATGAGTTCAACACACTCAATGCCTGCCTCTTCTTCCAGGCCAGAGATGCATAACAGAACCTGGGAAACCAGTGCCACTCCAGAAATGGTCTAGACTTACATACACACAGTAGTGGTCCCTCGCCACAGGTAGCTGTTGAAACAGAGCGAGCATTTGAGGACAGGGACAGAATTTGCTTATTTATACTATGTATTTGTCCTGGTCAGCTTTAACTATCAACTGGACACAACTTAGAGGAAGGCCAGTCGGCATGTGTGCCTCTCTGTGGGGAACTATCTCAATAGTTAATTGACTTAGGAAGGCCCAACCCACCATAGGTGGCACCAGTCCCTGGGCAGGTGGTTCTGAACTGTGTAAGAAAGCCAGCTGGGTATAAGCTAGTCAGTGAGTCAGCAAGCAGCATTCTCCATGGTTCCTGCTGTATCTTGGTTGTGAAGTGACTTCCCCAGTGGGAGTTAGACAGCCAGTGTGCCACTTCAAGTTCCTGCCCTGTCTTCTTTCAGTGATGGACTGTGATGAGGAACAGAGGCCAGACAAGCCCTTCCCTCCTCTATGATGCAGGATGTCTTAGCACAGGCACAGAAATATAAATAGAACAAAATTATATTGCATAAATTATTTCCCATGTAAATTATATAATTCATATTAACCACATGTGGCCAGTGGCTACCATACTGTGGCTGTAGACAGCAGCTCCTTCAAGGTGTGGACCATTTTATCTTAGTCATACATGCAGTCTTTTGTACCAAGGATGGTATTAAACTATTGAGTGGCTAGGTATGGTGGTACACATTTTTAATCCCAGCACTCAGGAGGCAGAGGCAGGCAGATCTCTGTGAGCTCTAGAAGAACCTGGTGAATTCCAGGAAAAGACAGAGTCATCTGATGGCTGGACATATAGATCAGCAATTGAGTTCTTTCTTAGCATGCATGAGGCCCTGGGTTCCATCCCCATCACTGAAAAGAAAAAAATCATTATCATGAGAAAGAGAAATCTCACAAGGCCTGTCTCACATGGGTACATGATAAGGAAGAGCAGCATACAAACTTCCAGCTGCCCCATACCCCACACGCATGCCCCTAACAGACAGCAGGTGAACAAGGGTCGTTTGTGGTCTCAGCTGGGCCATGCCAGAGCTGTATAGCAGGGCCTCCGGGTGCACCAGAGGACTACTTTCTTAGACACCCTTGCTCTGTTCCACGCCCCTCCCCATCCCTGCAATCTGCTTAGAGGCTTAGGGCCTATGAACACCCAACCTCCCGCAGGGCCCAGTCTGTTCCAGAGTCCACTCCTGCCAGCACTCTGAATTTTTTTAAAACCATATTGCTCTCAGGAAATCTGCTGCCTGCAATCTGCACATAATGTATGCAGGGCATGGTCTGAGAAACATCTAAGTCGTGATGTGTAACCCACTCAGATTCACACAGTTGCCTGTTTCTTTCTCTTTTAGCTTCCTCGTTCTTATAAACCAGCACATTAACAGGTTAATTATGACTTCATTCAAGTGTATCTTGGGGCTTTCTTTTTAAAAACATTTTGGCTTTCTGTTTTTATTTACCTGCATGTGTGCCTGTAAGCCTCACATAAGGACAGAAGAGGGCATCAGACATCCTGGAGCTGGAGCTAACAGGTGTTTGTGAGAACATAGATGCTGGGAACCAAACTTGGTCCCCTGGAAGAGCAGCAAGTGTTCTTAACAACCAAATGGGCTTTCCAACCCCTGGGGTTTTCCAGCAGCCATTTTGGGTAGTCCAACAACACTAACTTGTATCATTACCTTTTATAAATATTTCAGATGTAATGACAATAGCAAATAGGTAATGTCCATCGCTTTGTGTTGTCAAGCACTTAGCACACATCTCATTTAACCTTTATAATAAACATATGAATCAAGAATTATGATGACAGTCTTTTTTTTTTTTCCTCAGGAATTGAACCTGGGAGCTCAAGTATGCTAATCGCACACTGTGCCACTGTCCACTTGTCCTCATCTGTCCCTGGCTCTGTATTTTTTTTTTTCTGAGACAGGGTTTTTCTGTGTAGCTTTGGAGCCTATCCTGGCACTTGCTCTGGAGACCAGGCTGGCCTCGAACTCACAGAGATCAGCCTGCTTCTGCCTCCCGAGTGCTGGGATTAAAGGCGTGTACTACCAACACCCAGCTGTCCCTGGCTCTTTACAGCAAGAGAAACTGAGTCTTAGAAAGGCTAATTGACTTGAGATCAAGATTTGAACCCAAATCTGCCTGACTGAGAGCCAATGTTCTCTGACAGTAAACCATTTAACCTCTCTAATAGTACATGTTCTTCTATCTATAAAATATTGAGATTGAGAATTGAAAATCACGCTGAAGGGCAGGATGGATGCTTCTTACACTACTTGTAAACTGTAATCACTGTATCTACTTTGTGTATATTACAATAGTTATCATATATTTAAATTTAAAATAAAATTTATTATTAATTATTATTATTAGTAGTAGGTAGCATCATTATTATATTTTGAGACAGGATAGGGTTCAGGCTTGCCCAGAATGTGTATTTCCTGAGCTTTGGTACCTCCCTCATGGGCTGGGATTCCAGGCCTGCATCTCTAGACCCAGCTTCAATTAATTACATATATAAGTTACCCTATTCTTACTGTCCCTTTCTGTATATTTAGTGCTGGGGTTGGGATCCCTGGCCTTGTACATGGTAGGCAAATGCTCTGAATGAGCTGGCCCACAGTTCCCTGTTTTCACTCTTTTTTAGTTATGGACAGAATCAGTATGTGATGTCATATCTATGTATTAGTAAGCTAAAGACACATATGTCTTTTGCCAAATTCACATGCTCTGACAGTACTTAGCAACCCATTCCACTAAAGCTGGCATTGTTATCAGAGCACCAAAATTTTGTTTCAATTTGTGGATTGTTGTTGTTTTATTTAGGGTACTTATTTGGCTCTGTGAACATGGTGTCTGAGCTCAGTGAGAGTTCAGTGGCATGAGTTACTTGAGGAATCTGTACTCTGACATTTATGTTTTTGTGTATGGCATATGGACTTCGGATATTACAAGTGGGTACCATTTAACAAATAAAGCTGTCATTAGTTGTCAGGGGGGGTATTTACTAGATTCTATTAACAAAAGCTGAAAAGTACAGTTTCAATTAATGAAAATGTATAATGAAAATTAATTTTACATGAATTGAGAAGTAAACATGACAACCCCTATGAGCACTCAGAGCCTCAGAGAAGCCGGATCAGTCACTCTAAAAGTCACTTGGGAGAATTCTTCAGTAGGTTGAGATGGGGTGGGGGTGACCCATACCATTTTTTAAAGTCAGTCACGTACACACAGGCTAACAATAACCAATCCTTCCCAACAGACCCAAATGGAAGTGACTTTCACCTGCCAGATGACTAAAGACTAAAAATTAAAACAGGAACCCCTGGAAATGTTATCCTTAATGTCCCTGTTCAGACTCTCGGAATTTGCTTAACAAATCACTGTCCCTTGTGGCCTGAAAAATACCTGCAAATCCCCCTGAAGGCCTCTGTCCTTCCTGCTGCCTCTCTGTGTTCCCCCAAGATTCTTAGAGTGAACTGGGTATCCCCCACCCAATTCCCAACCTCAAAGGAATGCATTCCTAGTGTTTCCAACGCTGAGGCTTACTCCAGCTAGCTCTTCCCCAAGCCCTTCATTCAGAAGGCATGAGTCTCCAGCCAAGGCTCTCAGCTCTCTCATTCACATGCTTCCCAAACAACCAACTGCTCCAGCCTCTCCTCTAGGAAGGCATCCTTGCTGTTTAGAAATCACATCGGTCCTTTCCAAAAGACCTTGCAGGGGTTAAAAAAAAATCAGGAATTGCACAGTATGAGAGAAAGGCTGATAAGGACAGGTATCAGCCCTCGTCAATTCAGCCCTCCTTTCCAAACAGCATCCCACATGTTCTCACAGCATAGACCTCAACACCCCTTCAGGGTTGAGAGCGATTTTCAAGGGAAAACACAGAAACTAAGGATTCCCACAAGGTCCTGACAGATCTAGGAAAAAAAAAAAGAAAGAAAGAAACAGAAACAGAAATAGAGCGGGGCTAGGAAAATGGCTTTTCTCCTCCAGGCCCAATTCTTCCGTCTGTAATAGCATTTTCCGATTCAAGAGGCCGTGCGGGGATGCACCCCTGCAGGCTTTGCTCTTCTAAAGGGCACCCCGCCTGCCTCCCATCGCCCCCGCGGTACTCACGGCAACTGCCTGAGCTGGAACAGGTCCTCCTCCATGTCCGCGCTGCGCCAGGGCGAGCCTGGGCATGGCCCTTACATGGTGGAGCACCGCCGGCGCGCCGGCTTTCAGCACCGGGATGCTGGACAGCTCCACAGCTTCTTCCTTGGGCAGCCGCTGGGGGAGGGAGCCCTGCCCGGGAGACAAAGCCGCCGCCGCCGGGAGACCGACGGGAGTGGGCGGAGGACGAGGGGAGGGCTGCGCGGTAGAGAGGGCGGGGCGAGCCCTGCTGCTCCCAGGAGACCACGGTCCGCTGACTGGGGGTGTCTGCGGGGCACCCCCGCCTGCCAGATGATGCCTCCCTCCCTGAATGTTCGTAGGAATTTATTAGTGTTGTCAGTATGATGTTCTGGAAGCTTAAGCTCTGGGATGGAGTATAGGTTTTGGGGGAATGTTCTTCATGTATTACACTGCTGTGTGCTGAGAACCTACTGGGTGCCAGGCACAGTAACAGGCTGTTGACAGAAAACTTTTGAAAAGATTGTTATCACAGAGCTGAGGGCCTGATGAAATGGACCTAGGAAAGGAACAGGAGGTAGAAAGGTTACTGGGTTATTTATTTTTCACAGTCTGACTAGAACTTCAACTTCTTGAAATTTCTTGGATGTATCCCAGGTGCCCAGGAGAGTGTGCCTGGCACACAGAGCATCCTTAGTAAACATCTGTCATGGCTGAGTGTGGTGGCACAAGGAAGGGTGAAACAGGAGGACCATGTGTTCAAAGTCAGCCTGGGTTACTAACAAACTCAAGGGCAGATAGCTACATATCAAAACCATGTCTTAAAAGTTATGTGAGGCATGGTGGTGATCCCTGCACTTGGAGGAAGAGGCAGGTGAATCTCTGTGAGTTCCAGGTCAGCTAGGGCTACAGAGTGAGATGCCATAAAGAGAGCAAGGAAAGGAGGCAGGAAGGGAGAGAGGAAACGAGGAAGAAGGGAGAGGGAGAAAATATCACAAGTGAGCGATCCTCAATTCAAATTGTCCATAATCATTTGACTCCATCCAAAGCTACGGAATCTACTGGGGGTGGTCCTGGTGCCTGGATGCAAGAGCTCCTCAGAAGCCTTAGAGTGGAAGCTTCTGGTCCTAGTGTGAAGCAATGGAGAAAAAAGAAAAATATTCAACTAACATGATGGCAGCTCCCATGCTTCCCATTGTGTGAGAACTATGATTGGATGGAAGATCACAGCGACCTAAAGAAGAGAGAGACCTTCTTTTCTAATTTTTTATAACTTATGTATGTGTCTATGTGTATGCTTGTGTCTGTGTGTGCATGTGTGTGTGTGGTGTGTGTGTATGCTCATGTGTGCATGTGTGTGTAGTGTGTGTGTGTGTTTCTCAAATGTTCAGTGATGTCAGTCCATGCTCATTCAGCCTGAGTTGAGAAGACAGCATTGTTGCAGAAACCAGTGATAGAAAAACAGCTTGCTTTAAGGCAGCCAGGAGGCAGAGAGGAAGGGACTGGAGTCCAAATGCAACCTTCAAAAGCATGATACAGGGCCTGGAGAAAGTAGGACCCTTGGTCAGTTCCCAGTGCCATGTCTGGGAACTCAAAAAAAAGAAAAGAAAAGAAAAGAAACAACGAAAACAAGGAACAAAACCCATAAAAGCCAGGGGCTAGAGAGATGTCTCCAACAGGACCCGGGTTTGATTCTGAGCACCGACAACAGGTGACTCACACTCTCACACTGCCTATTACTCCAGCTCCATGGGATCTGATGCCCTCTCTGGCCTCCTTAAGTACTGCACACACACACAGAGAATTTCAAACAATAAATGTAAAAAAAAAAAAAAAAAAAAAAAAAAAAAAAAAAAAAAACCATACTTTAGGGTTTTGTTTTTTTTTCTCTTTGGTTCTTTGGGGGACCACCATCCAGCTCCCAAATAAATCACATGGAGGTTTATTCTTACTTATGAATGCCCAGCCTTAGCATGGCTTGTTTATAGCCAGCTTTTCTTAACTTAAGTTATACCATCTATCTTTTGCCTCTAGGCTTTTACCTTTCTCTATTTCTGTATCTCTTTTCTTTCCTTATTTCTCAGTGGCTTGCTGTGTAGCTGGGTGGCTGACCCCTCAAGTCCTCCTTCTTATCCTGTTCCTCCATCTCAAATCCTCTCTTCACAGATTTCTCCTCCTATTCATTCTCTCTGCCTGCCTGCCCTGCCTATCCTTTCTCCTGCCTTGTTGTTGGTCATTCAGCTCTTTATTAGACCATCAGGTGTTTTAGGCAGGCAAAGTAACACAGCTTCATAGAGTTAAGCAAATGCAGCATAAAAGAATGCAACACCACTGGGCGTTGGTGGCTCATGCCTTTAATTCCAGCACTCAGGAGGCAGAGGCAGGTGGATCTCTGTGAGTTCAAGGCCAGCCTGGTCTACAGAGTGAGCACCAGGACAGGCTTCAAAGCAATACAGAGAAACCCTGTCTCGGAAAAAAAGAATGCAACATATCTTTGCATCATTAAACAAATGTTCCACAGCATAAGCAAATGTAACGCACCTTAAGATAATATTCTACAACACTTTTAGAAACTAGTCCCTTCCTCAAGACCCCAACTCCTAACATTTCCCCTGCCTTCCAAAGTCTGGAGCCTTAGTTCCATGTTTTGAGCACACAGGCCTTTGGGGGACACTGCACATCATCTAGCAGAGCAACTTTTAAAACTCTAAACTATTACTCACCAACATTTATTGACTGAGTGAGTTTTGTACCTAACAGTCTGCAGCCATCTCTAACTTACTCGTAACTACTTCTCTTTCCACATATGTGTGTTTGTGGCATATGTGTATGTGTTCACGTGTGTGCACAGGTGTGGAGGCACAAGGATGACATCCAGTGTTTCCCTTGAGTGTTCTTGCCAAGGTACTTGATTCCAGAGATAGTCATTTTAGCCAGTCTATCTAGTCAGTTTGCTCTTGGGATTCCCGGTGTCCACCTCCTGTGTGCCAGGACTTCCAGGAGGCCTCTACTCCCTCCTGGCATTTTCTGTGGGTTCTGGGGAGGTTCATACTGTGGTCTTTATGGTTGCACAAGAAGTGCTTAACCCACTGAGCTATCTCTCTACCCCCTCTTGGCTATGTTTTCTTTTTTCCCTCATGCTTGTTGCTATTTGTCCTACCCATAATCACTTGTAAATTCTACCCCACTCTTGATCTATACCACATTGGGTAACATGATTCCTAGCCTCAGTTGAGTGGTCCAGGAGGCAGACACTATCCTAAAGGTATCCAATGCAGAGCTAGAGGTGTGGCTCTGCTGGTAGAGGCTTGCCTGGCATGCATGAAGTGCTGGACTCCAACTCCAGCACTGAATAAAACTGGGCATGGTGGTGCAAGCCTATTATCCCAGAACTCATGAAGATCAGAAATCCAAGGTTGTTCTTGCCTACACATTGAGTTTAAGGCCCTGCCTCAAGAAATTATATACATGACTCTGTGTGTGTGTGTGTGTGTGTGTGTGTGTGTGTGTGTGTGTGTGTGAGCATATATATGACATGCAATGTAAACACTGGTCAGTAGCATCTTCTCATTGATAGAATCAAATGCTATTGAATTACTATGTGACCCTATAATAATTAGCTTTGTCAACTGAACACAACCCAGAGTCATCTGGGAACAGAGTCCCAGTAGGAACTGTCTACATTAATGTGCCCTATGTGTCATCTCATCATCATCATTATCATTATTTTGATTTTTTGAGACAGGGTTTCTCTGTGTAGTCTTGGTTCTCCTAGGATTCACTCTGTAGCCCATGCTGGCCTCGAACTCAGAGATCTGCCTGTCTCTTCTTCCCAGTGCTGGGATTAAGGGAGTGTACTACTACTGCTCGGCTCTCACTCTGCTCTTGACTATTGATGTGATGTGACTCACACTACCTCAAGTTCCTACCACTGTGGCTTACCCACAACAATAGACTGTAACCGGGAACTGTGAGCTAAAAGAAACCCTTTGTTTCCTCAGTTGCCTTTTGTTAAGATAGTTTATCATTGCAAAAGAAGTGAAATTAAAAAAGACCCCCACTGGACTCTCATCTCTATCCTCAATGTAATTGAAAGCAAGACCTTGAATGGATATGTGTGCATCAATGTTTAAAAGCAACACTATTAACTGAAGCTGAGAAAGGGGACCTGGGGTGTGGCTCAGTTGGGAGAGTGCTCCACTAGCATGCATGAAGCCCTGGATTCAATTCCAACAGTGCACAAAAGTGGCCATGGTGGCACACACCTGCAATGCCGGTGCAGGCAGGAAGATTGGGATTTCAAGACCATCAAACGTGTGTTCATCAACAAAGAATGAAGTCGGATAGAAACTATACTTCAGATGCACCTTGAAAACGTAATGCTAGTTGCAAAAAAGCCTGACATAAAAGGCCAGATGATATTGAATTTACACAGCATGCAGAAATAACAAATCCATAAGGACAAAATGTGAAGTAGAGGACATGGAGAAAAAGGAATGGGGAATCATTGTTCAATAGGTGCGGTTCCTGACTGGGGATTTAATAGTTGTTTAGAAAACTGTATCATGTTCCTCACATCACTGAACTGGCACATTTATAAACTGGGCTGTCGAGATGGTTAAGCTGGTAAGGGTGCTTGCTGCCAAACCTGATAACCTGGGTTTGAACCCACATGGTGGAAGGAGAGATCAAAGTCCCTCAAGTTGTCTTCTGACCTCCAATGCAAGTTATGTGCATTATGTAAGCAAAATGTAATTTTTTAATCGGCTGAATGTTGTAAAATGGCACAGTTGCTATGGAAAACAATATAGAAGAGTCTGAAAAAATTACCATGTAAATTTGTAACCTCACTACTTGATACAGATCCAGGAGGACTGAAAATAAGATCAGAAAGTGAAGGCTTAGGTGCCCGTGTTATTGCCAAGAAGTGAGAACAACCTGAATGTCCACTGAGAAACAGATAGGGGAGAGGAGCTAGTATTTACAATGAAATATTATTTTTCTATAGTCCACTTTACACAAAGTGAACTAAGCCAATCACCAAGACTCTTCCCATTTTAGTAACTGGAGACAGTCAACCTTGCAAGATCAGAAATGGAAGGTATTTACTGGGTAGGAGGAGGAGTAGGGAGAATTACATAGTTCAGTTTGGAGAAGAGAAATGCTATAAAGAGCTGCCACACAGCAATGTGCTCATGCAAGACAGGATCTAAAAATTTATTTATTTATTATATATATGACAGCAATCCATTGGCTGATAAATATCTGGTTTGTTTCTAGGTTTTCCTGTTTTGAAGAGTGATTCTAGGAACCTTTGTATGGGGCTTTGTAGGGGGTATGAACCTAACAGAAACAGATTTTTTTTTTGTTTTTTTGTTTTTTGTTTTTCGAGACACGGTTTCTCTGTAGGTTTGGAGCCTGTCCTGGAACTCTCTTTGAAGACCAGGCTGGCCTCGAACTCACAGAGAACCGCCTGCCTCTGACTCCCGAGTGCTGGGATTCAAGGCGTGCGCCACCACCGTCCGGCCAGAAACACATTTTTTTTTTTTAAACATCGCACTTTAATTTATTGTTTGTGTGAGCGTATTCCCGCTTTTGTATGTGTGTGTTTGTGTATGCGTGTATACGCGTGTGTATATGTGCGTTTGCACGTGAGTGCTCGTGTATATGAGTGTGCATGTGGTATATGCCTGTATGTACGCCTCTGTGTGTGTGTGTGTGTGTGTGTGTGTGTACACGTGTGTGTGTACTCGTGTGTGGTGCACCACAGCATACATAGACAGTTCAGGACAACTCCGGTTCTCTTTTACCGTGTGGTCCCAGGTATTGAACTCAGGTTATGAGATTTGGTGGCAGGTGCCTTTACCTGCAGACCCATCTGGCCAGCCCACACTTTTTTTATTCAATCAAAGATGGAACCACTCCCCCACCCCCTATTTTTTTTTAATTCTCATTTTAATGGCAGCCTTTCCACACGAAACACGACACAAGCTCTGCCCTGAAGGCGGAGCGTCTGCATTTCTGAATGAAGCCAGAGCAATTGCGAGAAGTGCTCACTGTTTCTGAAGCAGTGCACAGCCCCGGAAGCCTCCCTTAGCAACAAATCAGGCTGCGGTTGCTAAGGGAAAAGGAACCGGGCAGAGCTCATCCGTCCACTATTGCGGTCCGGCGGCATCAACTTCCTGTTCGTCGTCTTGCCTTCCCCC